CCCCTGCTTGTGTTCCCTCTATCGCTCTGTCTCTCTCTGTCAAATAAATAAATAAAATCTTAAAAAAAAAAAAAAAGAAAGAGAATGTGCAAACATTAAAATAGTTGTGTTAGCATGCTGGGATTTAAGGTTGGTTTCTTCATCGAATTTTCTTTTCCTTTAAATAGGCATTCAACATTTATTTCTAGTAAGAAACTTTCCTAAACAGAAAAAAGACAGGGAAGGAATCTTTCATACGAAAATACAAATATTTGGATATTTTTCATATTTTCATAAACCAGATATCCTCATAAATTCCACATACAAGCAATCATATGGGTTTATTCTTGATAAACCCCAGTATTTTTTTGACATAGAAGTTGGATTTTGAGATTGCTGGTCTCTTTTGTTTGTTTATGTTAATGTTCATAAAAGAGCTGAGTTACTTAAAAAAAAAAAGGTTATTCACAAACCTTTGAATAATACATTATCGAGACAAAGTGATGCTAGGACCATTGTTCACATCTAATATATATCTTTTAATAACACATTCTTCTCTTTGACCTATGAGCTATCCTGAAATATCCCAAAGCCAGGCCATTTTTCTGTGGATTTCTAGACTTAGAAACCAATAAATAAAACCCCAGCTCCTGCAGAAAAATATAGAAATTTTGATTTCAGTTTTCATGAACAGGCCTAGCTCAGAAGTAGAGTCCGGAAAGAAATGTGTGAGTTAGATGAAGAAGGATGACTAGAATCACCAAAATGATTCCAGGATGAAATCCAGATTCATCCCGAATTCAAAAAGATTCCAGAAATGGATGGGTTGGATAAAGAAGGATGACTGGAATCACAGATGGCCCTGATCCTGAACTTGGAGAGGCAGCCTCTTCCGGGGAGAGGACGAGTTTGGGGTCAGAGAAAAGAATTCTGGCTCTGCCTTCTACTTCTTTGGAGAACTGCGTGTTCGTTTCCAAATCTGTAAAATCAGAGGTCGTAATCTCAGCCCTCTAGGTAAAAGAGGTAAACGAGAGAACCCACCTCTCTGAAGATCTGTGATTCTCAGAGATCATTAATTGCAACCTCTTATTTTAGCAGTGTGGTGTAAACAGGCTCGGAACCCAGCCAGTTAGCCTTGCTGGAGTCAGGGTTCTTTGAACACAAAGCCCAGAGTCCAGGCTCTGAAATCAGAGCACTGAATTACAGTGTCAGCTCCACCAGCTTCTGACGCTATGACCTTGAGCAAGTCATTTACTCTCTCTGTCTCAGTCACCACCCCTGTAAAGTAAGGACAATCATTGTGTCTAATTTAAGACTGATTATAGTGATTAAAAAAAGTCAAACTCAGTAAGGTGTCTGGCATGCTGCAAGCTCTCGGTGTTACCTATTAGTAGTAATCCCTGAAACTTTCTTTGAATGCTTTCAGTGTTTGCAAACCGATTCTTATGATCAGCCTTATTTTATCATCAGCATGTATATTTTACTCCTCAGTTGGTGGAATCTTTCCTCCACAGAGTAAATGCTAAGGAATTACATTTTGATGTTTCTAGAAAATAAAATAAGTTGGGGAAGGGGCAGGGGGTGGGTAGAAGGCCACCACTAGAGGGGGTATTGGCAAAATTTTATCTCTGATTTTCTGGGGCAGGCTGGCTCTGCAGTGGGAGAGGCACCCTTGGAAGGAAGGGAGGGAGGAGATCAGGGGTGCAGATGGGCTTGGAGGTGTAGTCCTGATGAAGAAGAGCTTGCACAAAGTGAGCAGGAAGGCAGTGCTGCACCCTGGTAATAACCATCATTTATTGAGCACTTACTGTATGCTAAGCCCTGTGCCTCATCATTATTAGTTTGTTTCTAGAAAATGGGAGTAATAATAGTCCCTCCTTTACAGGAGTGGTTGTGAGCACTTTAAGAAATACTATGTATCACATATTTGAACAGCGAGTTCTTGACACAGAATATAAAGTTAGTTATTACTATTAGATGAAAACCCTCCTGTTTCAGATGAGGAAGGCTAAGTAGGTAATACACCCCAAACCAGGGGGCTACTAAGTGACAGATATCATCTGTAGTCTGATTCTGAAACTCTTAACTCTGTAGAGCTCACAGCTCAAGCAGAGGCTTCCATCCTCCTCCTGCCGGGTCCAGCTCCACCCCTCAACCTTCCAATGATGTCAGGTTGGGCTCCGCCGTCACATGGACCTGGACCGGAGCCCTCATTCTGCCTCTCGATGACTCTGACCTGGGTAAGTCACTTCGCCCCTCTACAACTCCATTAGCTCATCTGCGAGGCAGAGGGTCTTTTATCTCATAGGGATTTTATGGGGATTCGATAAGGTTTTCCAAGCAGAGTGCTTAGCCCAGGGCTTGGCACGTGAAAAGCACTAAGTGGATATTAAGCTATTATCGTGAAGTGGATTCTTCACAACCAGAGTTCCACGCCGCTGGTATTTCCACGCTTAACCTTAATTCTGGAACAGTCTGTGACAAAAGAAAAGATATCGGAAACCTCGGCTTTGACAGCTCTCTCCTTCTTTGTAATATGCCATTTTCTTAATTCAGCACCGTATGAATCAATGTGGTCATCTCTTCTGGCCTCTAAATTCATTGATGGTGTCAGCCGGCAACGAAATGCCAGGGCACTGGGATCCAACCGTCCCCCTGCCGTTCGCTGGCTTTCCCTGGGTGAATGGTAACATTTTCAAATGGATAAAAAATCTCCAGCCAACGTCGCTCTCCTCCTCCAGAGCAGATTTATTACAGAGTGCTTGGCATTTCCACATGCTCTGCATTTGTCAGTGTCACATTCATATGCATTCTTAGGTATCTATACATATATAGGCATAATTTAAACCTCCAGGGAACAAAGGCTATTTTTCTAGCTTGGAGATCTTCCAAAAGATCTTTGCATTTCATCTATTTTTAAATGTTTGTGTGATTTAAAAGCATGGTAATATCAAATGATACAGAGGAGGGCTGGCTACTCAGCTTCCAGCAACTGATCATGTGCCACGCGTCGGGCACTTTTATATCCAATATTTACTTAACTGTGGGGTGGGTAGGCATTATTTTCAGTCTGCAGGGGAAGCAACTGAGGCTCCACAAGATGAGCTATTCGCTCAGAGTGGCACACACTCGAGTCACGCCTGCTGAGGATGGTAGGGGTGGGGGCGCAAACCAGTCCGGTTCCATATTCCATGCTCCTGCCATTTTATCACAGCTGCCTCTGCAGAAAAACACCCACTTAGGCATTTAAAAATGATTTCCTGAGCACCTACTGTGCGGCACTTTGCAGGGCTCTGGTGAGATAGCTGTGGGAAAAAAAAAGCACAAAGTCTTGCCTTCAGGGAGCTGACATTCGAGTGCGCAAACAGCACAGATCAGTCCTGTGACTTGGGTTCGTCTTCATTGGACGACACGGAGGTGGAAGAACAAGGCAGAAAGCAACCATGGCTGAGGGGTGGTTTCTGTTCTTCCCCAGATCACACGGGCATGGGACGCATGTACAGGGCGGCAGGCCTTTGGGGAAGGACTGAGGAGAGGGGGGCTCATGAAGCTGTGTCAGCTCCAAGAGGCCTCTGTTCCCTCCCCTGCGATATTTAGCTTGCTCCCTTTTGGGGCTTGGGTTTGGACAGCACCTGTTACTGCCCTAGAGCAGACAGAGCTCACGCAGGCTGTTGAGCCGTGTGCCACGGGGCGAGCGTTGTTGGGATGGGGAGACTAGAGAAGCAAGTGCTCAAAAAATCAATAGTGGGCACCCTGTGACCACACAGACTCCTTTCCACAAAATTCCAGGGGGGGATCAATGGGAAAATAATGATTTCTCCTCCTGATGATCTTCTTTTCAAAAGCAGTATCGTCAGCTACCATTCATTCGACAATTCCTCCGTGTCAGGCACTGTACTACATTCTTTGTGGGTGTTGTTAAATTTAATTCAAAATAAAAAAAAGAGAGAGAGAGAGAAGGAAAGAAATTGAGATTCAGAGAAGCTAGTGGATGGAGACACTGAGATCTGAAGCTGAATTTGTCCAGCTCTAAAGCTTTTGTCCGGTTCCCTGACACCCAGCTGCCTCTGTGGTTCCCCACAAAGCTGTAAGGAGAGTGTGGGACTCATCTGTGATTTGCTCTGCGTCTTTTCTATCCTTGCCCACCACCCGGGAGCTTGTTAGAAATGTAGAGGCTCAGGCCCCAATGCAGACTTACTGAATCTGAATTTGCTTTTTAGTGAGACTCCTGGGCACATTCAAGTTTAAGAAGAACTCCTTTAGACCTCTTGCTGAAAGATATGACATAGACCCTCCGAAAGGTGGTGGAGAGATACTTCTCTCTGGCTCCCCAAACCATTATTACTAGAATTGAAATGGCTGCTCCTCAATTTAATCAAGAAGTGACAGTTTTAAAACCTGCTTGGGTGCCTCTTGAATAAAATTGGAATGGAAGAACCGCTGAGTGATCTAAGAAGTTAGAAGGAGAATTTCTGTTTCAAGGATGTTTCCATAGCCTTTCTAGGGAAGAGATGCTCATCGTTAACAACTTTTTTTTCCCAGCGGGAATTCAGGTCATACAGACAGCAGTTTGGAGGATGAATGGTATGTGGGGGTTGCAGCCCACTAACCTGGATATGGGACAAGGTGTAGCTTTTATCTCACTTTATGATCTTAAGCAAATCATCAAAGCCTCTCTATTTATCTACTGGTCTTGGCCTGGGAGTATTCAGAGTAATAGCTGGGTGTTCTCATGCCATTATAATGATGACGAGGGAAATTTGTTTTTAAGGTGGGAATATCAGGTGGGTTAATATTCTGGGACCTCAAAAATTCATAGGAGTTAACTAAATTATTTGTTAGACCCTTCCATCAACCAATAACCCAATCAACCAAACCATTAAAAAGTATTTATTGGGAAGTTGCCACGTGTCTCGGAGTACAAAGGGAATTATGCTCCTGGTACAGAAAATAGTAATTATGAATCACTTTCCACCTGCTCTCTGCTCCACAAGAACTAAGCATAGTAATGAGTCTAAGAAGCCGAGATGACAGGTGCTGGGCACAGGGCACTGGGTAGGTGGCAGGGAGAGGTTCTCTTTCCATTTTCCCATTCACCCTTAGCCTCACCCCCTTGCCTGGCATCCAGAGCAGAATTTCCAAGAGCCTATTGAGCATCTACCCCTGGAACACAAACGGAGTTCAGACGCCATGCTACGCAGGCAGAGAAGTAGAGGCCTCAGGTCACTTTAGCTCATCCTCTCTCACTTCCGTATCCGATCCCAAAGTCCTAACCACTGTACCTTGGGAATATCTTCTCTACCTGCCCTCCACATTCCATTCATGAGCCCCAGCCCTCTGTTTGTAGGCTTCCTAGCATCCAGAACAAATCAGGCCCCTGCTTCCTCAACAACCTTTAATGGCTCCCATTGGCTTCAGAAGAAAGTCCCGCCTCCTTAGTCTAGCATCCATGACCCTCTGTGATGTGGCCCCACACTGCCTTTCTAGCATGTCGTTTCCCTCCGTTTGTCTCTTCCCAGTTTTCAGCCAGAACGCTATACCGCCAGGTCGACCCCACCCCGTGTGTGTACATCCTCCCCCCCAAATGCCTCGGTCCAATCATTCTACTCAGACCATCCTTCCAACCCCCACTCCAGCTCTCAAAAATCATCCCTCTCCCTCAAGCAGGTTAACCCTTCAAGTCCTTGAAGACTTTCTTAGTTTCTACTTATTACTTGTTGGAGGCTGTCGGGCATTCGGGCTTATCCAGATGTTTTCCTCCTTTGTTGGGTCATGGGCTCCCTAAGGGCAGTGGTCAAGTTGTAATCATCTTTGTGTCCTCAGGGGCTAATCCAGGGTATGCTCCTTAAATGAAGGAGATTGGTGAACGAGGGCCATACCCACAAATGCTACAGGGATATACTTAGTATGAAGAGGTGCTAGAGGGTCTCTTCATACTAAGGCAGAATGGCTCCATCACTGGCCAGCTGGGTGATAAGGGAAAAATGAATTAACTTCTCTGTGCCTCTGTTCTCCTCGATAAACTGGCAATAACAATAATGTCTGCTTCATAGGGTTGCTGCGTGGATGCAAATGAACATAAGTTCAGGAGCATGTGCTTGCTGCTGTCTGAACATTCACACTTCTGTGACCTTTGCCCTTTCTCCTCCCCGTTCCCCTCCTTTTCACCTGACTTCGCCCACCAAGTCCTCCGATCCTAACTTTGATGTCCCTTCTTCCTGCAAGTGTTCCCCGAGTCCGCCATGTCTGTAGCAGGGTGTCTGGTGTATCTTACTGCAAAACCTTACCTTCCCCCACCACATACTCATTTCACTGTGGTGCAATTCTCTGTTGAGATGTCAATAACTACAGCAAGACCGGTCATATTTATTGAGCTTTTACTATATGCCTGGGGCTATGCGAGGTGTCTCTCAGGCATTATCTTATTCAATCCCCACAGTGACCCTATGAGATAGGTGTTATTATTCCCATTTTACAGATGAGAAAACAGGACAGAATAAATTCAGTAAATTGTCCGAGATCACCCAGCTGGTGAGTCACAAGACAGGGATTCAAACTCAGCTCTGTCTAAGTTTGGGCCCATGTTCTTAATACTATACTAAATGCCCTTGGCACCAATGCCTGGCATGTTCTGGAATATGCAAAAACAGACCAACAAAACAAAAAATGCAAAAACCGAAACCATGTTTAAAACAAGTGCTTAGTAACCTGATAAGCATTGTAAGTCTCCTCCACCATTCCCCTTTCCTTCTCTGGGGGTGGGGGTCCAGGGGAGATAAAAGAAGATCATCATTCCCTGGTTTGCACAGTGGTTGGGACTGCACAACTCTGCTGTAGTTAACAGAGCTCATTAGAAGCCCACGGAAGTGAATTAAAGAAACATGACTTGTACCAGTCTACCTAGCCACATTTTAGGTTCCTGGGGCATATGGGCACAAGCTCATTTAAAAAGCATTTTTAACAAAAGCACACAACAGAAATGTTCAGCATATGTTCGAGTAGGTAGAGATTCATGGAATCCTAAATCAACTTGCTTTTTATAGTCACTCAGAGAGGGGCAAATTAGTGCAAGCCATTCCTTCCATCAGTGCATGCTAAGGAGAGGCCAGGCTGAAGAGCAGGTAGAGATGCCAAACTGAGTGCTGTGCATTGGAGGGTCCCAAGCCTCCGGTCCCCTCAGCCCAACCCCCCCCACACCGTGACAACCTCCTACTCCCCGCCCCCTCTCCCTCCCACACCA